ACAATGAGAAAGTATGAGATTTGGTATACAAATAGAGGCATTAGCTTGAAATGGCTCTGTTCATCTGCAGTAATAGGCAAAGAGGCAAATATGTAGGTGGAGATGTGATGAAGAGAGTCTGTGAAGTCTCTTCTCAGTGAAGGATGAAGGAAGGTCATCCACTTTTGAGTGTGGGGCAGAATGTGTTCAAAGTTTGAGAAGAGAAGCAAAGGTATAAAATAGCTAAGAGGGCCGAGTTTGGTGGCTCATGCCTGTAATCCCAGCACTTTGGGAGGCCAAAGTGGGCAGGATCATTTGAAGTCAGGAGTTCAAGACCAGCCTGGCTAACATGGCAAAACACTGTCTGTACTAAAATTACCAAAAAAAAAAAAAAAAAAAAATTTAGCTGGGCGTGATAGCAGGTGCCTGTAGTCACAACTACTGGTAAGGCTGAGGCAGGAGAATCCCTTGAGCCTAGGAGGCGGAGGTTGCAGTGAGTCGAGATTGCACCATTGCACTCCAGCCTGGGAGACAGAGAGAGACTCTGTCTCAAAATAAATAAATAAATAAAATAGCTAAGAGAGTTGGGGAAGGAATGGACTATGGGAATGTACTAAGGCCCACCAGGGTTTTGTCACAAACATAAAGTGATTCCAATTAGGGTGGCTGTGAGAATGTAGGGTAACCTCGTGGCAGAACGCCATCAATCCAGCTTGAGTCTCTCACTGCTTTCAACTGTCCCCTTCCGTCACTCATATCACCTCTCATCGTCCCATTGTGCTTGAACAAACTGCAGAAAACAAAGTATTGCAACAAATTTGAGGCAGCAGTTCCATACACGCGCTCTGCGGTGACATGGAGTATTTTTGAGCTGTGAACACAGCGGCATCTGTTGGACACTGTATGAATTATTAGCTCAAGGGAGTTCACAGTTTTATTATTACATGGAGCTACATTCCTTTCCATTACACACTTTCTTTGTCAAGCGGACTTTTGAGACGTTGCTGAAATAAAAGCAAGTATTACACAAGGATCAGTGTGGTGTTGCATCCAATTCCTAAGTTTGAGGAGTTGTGTCATGTTCAACAGGCACACACATCTCACTCAGAAATTGTGGTTAAGAATGAAATAGGCCGGGCATGGTGACTCACCCCTGTAATCTCAGCTCTTTGGGAGGCCAAGGTGGGTAGATCATGAGGTCAAGAGATCGAGACCATCGTGGCCAACATGGTGAAACTTCATCTTTACTAAAAATACAAAAATTAGCTGGACATGGTGGCACGTGCCTGTAGTCCCAGCTACTTGAGAGGCTGAGGCAGGGGAATTGCTTGAACCAGGGAGGTGGAGGTTACAGTGAGCCGAGATTGTGCCACTGCACTCCAGCCTGGGCGACAGAGTGAGTTTCAAAAAAAAAAAAAGTAAAGAAAAAGATATGAGTAATAATTACGTTGTTTAGACATAGCTAATTTTAGTGCAGTTGTTAGCAATTTATTTTGACCTAGAAGTGCAGTGGAAAAATTAGAGATGCTAAGAGCACCATTTGCTGAGAAAATGTGGGAACCTCTGACTTAAAAATGAATTCCAGTTGCTTTCTCTGTTTATCCCAAATACTGGGTCAAGGCCCCAACGGCTGCAGTTGTATGTAGCTGAACTAAGAATAATCATGTCAAAGTCTACATCTTGCAGGGAAATTGTTATGGCACTCTCTCCACACCACCTCACCAAGTTCCCTCATTACATTAAAACTTGAGCCTAGGGAGGCCGAGGCGGGTGGATCACGAGGTCAAGATATCGAGACCATCCTGGTCAATGTGGTGAAACCCCATCTCTACTAAAGATAGAAAAAATTAGCTGGGCATGGTAGTGCGTGCCTGTAATCCCAGCTATTCAGGAGGCTGAGGGGGGAGAATTGCCTGAACCCAGGAGGTGGAGGTTGCGGTGAGCTGAGATCGCGCCATTGCACTCCAGCCTGGGTAACAAAAGCGAAACTCTGTCTCAAAAAAAGAGAGAGAGAAAAAAAAAACTTGAGCCTAAATATCTCTCCCTAGTTTTAATGGCATATGGCTACACTATAACCATCTATTATAATACGGGGATTTAAAGCCAAGAGTAAACCTCTGCCTTTTAGCTCCCCTAGAGTCATATCTCTAAAAGAAGTCGGAACATGTGGGTCAACAGAAGACTTGGCTTGGACATTTATCTCTTTGTCAACATCTACTCCAAATGGGTAATTCTTGATAGATGGCTTAAGCCAAATAATTGTCACTTCAGGACTGCTTTCTTGTCACCAACCGAGATACCAGTAACATATGCATGTGTGTTGGGGAAATAAGATGCCACCAGGCAGTGTTTGTTTATATGTGTATGTGTCTATGTGTTCTTGGGCCTTTCAAGAGACTGTCTCTCTTCCCTGACCTGACGCTGTGAGTTTTGCAAGTCAAGATAGTGCTTTGCAGCAAAAGAAACTCTCAGCAGAGTAAACAACCTACAGAAAGAGAAAATATTTGCAAATCATGCATCCAACAAAGGATTAATATCCAGAATTTATAAGGAATCTAAATGAACCTAGAAGAAAAAAACAGCTCTATTAAAAAGTGGGCAAAGGACATGAACAGACACTTTTCAAAAGCAGACATATAAGCAACCAACAAACACAAAAAATGCTCAACATCAGTAATCGTCAGAGAAATGCACCATGAGATGCTATCTCACACCAGTCAGAATGGCTGTAACAAAAACTCAAAAAATGACAGATGTTGGCGAGGTTGTAGGAAACAAGGAACACTTATACACCATTAGGGATGCAGATTAGTTCAGCCACTATGGAAAGCAGTTCGAAGACCTCTCAAAGAACCAAAACTAGAACTACCATTTGACCCAAGCAATCCCATTCCTGGGTATACACCTGAAGGGAAATAAATCATTCTTCCAAAAAGACATGCACTTGTATGTTTATCACAGCACTATTCACAATAGCAGAAATGAAATCAATGTCGCTGTCCATTAACAGTAGATTGGATGAAGAAAATTTTGGTACATATACACCATGGAATACTGTGCAGCCAGAAAAAAAGAACAAAATCGTGTCCTTTGTAGTAACATAGATGCAGATGGAAGCAGTTATCCTAAGTTAACCAATGGAGAAAGAGGCAACCAAATAGCACATGTTCTCATTGATAAGTGGGAGCTAAATCTTGGGTTCACTTGGATTTGAAGATGGGAATAATAGACACTGGGGACTCCAAAAGAAAGAAGGGAGGGGGGGAGGGAGGAAGTGGGGAAGGGCTGAAAACCTTCCTTTAGCACCACGGAATACACTCTTGTAAAAAACCTGTACGTATACCCCTGAATCTAAAATAAAAACAGAAATTTAAAAACACTGTGCTTTGTTAATTCAGGTTTGGGATAAAATGCACCTATAATCCCAGTTACTTGGCTTGAGCCCAGGAGTTCAAGACCAGCCTGGGCAACATACTGAGACTTAGTCTCATAAAGATAGTTTAAAAAATGATAAATGCTTGAGGTGACAGATACCCTAATTACCCTGATTTGATCATTATACCTTATATACTTGTATCAAAATATCACATAAACCCCATAAATATGTATAGCCATTATGTGTTAATAATAATTAAAATTTAAAACATTTCTAAAGATTGTGCTTTATTAATTTGTGTTAGGTTCAGTACCCAGAACAAGGCATGGTATCTGGTAGACTTTGAATTTGTTGCTTAGAATATGGAAAATAATAAATTGATGTTATCTACGTAAGCAGACATACTATAAAAATCGAAGAAGCTTGAGCTTCAGGGCCCCAGAGGTTTGTAATAGGTTTACTGCAATTGGTTTAAAATATTATTTATTTCTACTTTCTTTTTTTGTTTGTTTTTTGTTTATTTTGAGACGGAGTTTCGCTGTTGTTACCCAGGCTGGAGTGCAATGGTGCGATCTCGGCTCACAACAACCTCTGCCTTCTGGGTTCAGGCAATTCTCCTGCCTCAGCCTCCTGAGCAGCTGGGATTACAGGCACGTGCCACCATGCCCAGCTAATTTTTTGTATTTTTAGTAGAGACAGGGTTTCACCATGTTGACCAGGATGGTCTCGATCTCTTGACCTTGTGATCCACCCGCCTCGGCCTCCCAAAGTGCTGGTATTACAGGCTTGAGGCACCGCGCCCGGCCCTTATTTCTACTTTCTTACCCTCCATCCCATCTGACTTCAAGTCAGTGAGGTTGGATAGGTTACAGATATTTTGGGGATTCGATTTAGGGGAAGTTGAGTTAGGATACATTTAGACTGGGCATAGCGGGCTATATATTTAAGCGACTGACATTCACTTTGATATATATTTCTATGAAAGTGTAGGAATAGCTTCCAGGAATCCTTCTGCCTACTTTATAGGACACATCCTAGGTGGTGACAAAAAGGTGCAAAGTCAGGGGCTACATCCCAACATGAAAGCCTCCTACAGCGCCCAGGACCAAAGGACTGGGCAAAGAGAGGAGAAACAGGGCTTGAAATGTACAGTGTGAGAGACTGGCAGGCAGAAAAGGCTTCTTTTCATCAGGCATGTACAATTATAAGCGGGTAAATCTTTTTCTACAACATCTAGTCAAAAAGGCGTTCCCTTCTGAAAAGAATATACTCAAAAGAGCGGAGCATGCACTATCCATTTACTATTCTTCCTTTTTTGATGGGAATTGCATGACATGGGGTTTGCCAGAGTTTTGTGTTTGTGTAGTATAAACCTGTACTGATACCACAAACAGCAAGGACATCTGTGGGTGAAGTCGCACATTTTATGCATCTCAGCCTATTGGTTTGTACCTTACCATATCTGATGTATCCGTTTCTGATGAAGTCTGGTGGTTCCTGATGAAATGCTAAGCAAAATTGCCAGAGTCAGCAATTTTGTGCCTGAACTTTCTCAATTGTTAAAGATAAATAACAAATTTCAATCAGTCACTAGAAGATTGGATTACTTTCTATCTTTATGTAGAAACACTTCACAAGGAAACCATTGGATTTTATATGATTTTATTTTTCACAGAATGTCATAACAGCCACCAGCTGTCCACTTCAGAGGAGTTTAGCTATGGTAATGTCAGCTGTGATAAACTGTAGTAAGGGACCCCAAGAGCGACCCCAACAACTTTTTGTAGGAACTCCATATATTCCAAGAACTTGAAATCTTTGCCACTAGGGGAACTCTGAAGTTTCTTTTCCTTAAGCTTTCAGGGGGAATAGTCCAGCGAATGGTTTTGGGTATAACCTCCAGTGAGTCTGCTGGTACACAGGCAAAAAAAAAGGGCCGGTTTTGTTTTTTTTCAGAATAGAAGTTGATATCGCCACGATGAGGTTTTGATGTTGAGTTATGTTTGCTTTGGAAGCAATCCAATCTTTCTGACTCATAATCATGCACTCTCTTCTTTCTGGCACGTTTCTCTTTACTGTGTGTACAACTGTAATCGTGGTCCCAGTGACTGTTGTTCTTCTTCAATAAATCAAATCTGGCCTTCTTTCTTCCTTTTCTTTCTGGGTGCATGTGAGACTTGTCTTGGTTTTTTGCAAGATGCAATTTAATACTTGATTCCGTTAAGGAAGCTAAGGAGTAACTTGTTCTGCTCCTGGTAGTCCATGAAGGTTTCTCTTCACTGAATGATACACCAGATGACCTAGACTGAATTTCCACAGTATTTAATGAATGATGACACAACCAGTCAGGAGATTTCATTTTGGAAGATGATCTATATTTCCTGGTTTCATGGGACTTATAAGAAGGTGGTGTAATAAATAAGGTTTGCTTTCTGTACCCTCTAGTACAATGCGAATGTGAATCTTCACTGTAAAATGATTTCAAATCACTTGTGATTTTGCAGGAATTTTCCAAAGGCATGCCTGTCTGTAATTCAAATAGAATGTTTTGTGATTCCTGATTTAAATAAGAGTTGGCTTCCAGAAACATACATTCCTCACTCTCACTTACTTCAAGACCTGGACATTTGTCCAACTCAGCTGGACTCTCAATATTTGTCTGACTATCAATAAAATCTTTTGAAATTTGAGTTTCATGTGAATCAGCTGAACCAATAGCATTGCTCTGAGTCCTTAAATCGATAGATTTATATGTATTTGTTTCTTGAAACCATACATGAAATTGTTTGTTTTTTTCTGGAGTCACATGGAATTCTGAATGTGAAAGAACTTGAGTGTCTTTCTTCCTCGGGCTCTGCAGGTCACGGTCAGAATCACACACGAGGGTTGGCTCTGGCAATTTTCTGATAAGTGATGAGTTTTCATGGGGACTTTGCTTTCTCAAAGAAATATGTTGCTCTAACTGTTCTGTATCAATGGCAAGACTCTCACTTTCTCCACCAGCATCTACTTTTTTATACATTCCAACTGTGTTTAACTTACTATGTTTGGGAAATAGGTTTGGCTTAGGGAATGTACTTCCAACAGGAAGCCCCCGGAGAAAACGAAGGCATTTGTATTGTAAATCAAGATCTATTTGATGGAGAGATTTTTCCTCAAAAAGTAACAAAATTCTGTTTTGTCCTTTTGGTCTTGTGATACCAGAATGAACACAGTTAGATAGAGGTTTCTTTCTCTCCTGAGCACTGGTCATTGCATGAGATTCTCTTACAATTCTGGGAAAGGCTTTCATTTGTATCTCCAATGCTTTCACAGAAAAGTGCGTGAGGAGTTTGGCTTTTGCTTTTGCTGAATGGTTTTGGAGGGTATGCGGCAATAGCATCTCACTAGCAAAAGTCACTGAAGATGTTCCACTTTCTAGCTTATTAATACTCTGTAGCTTCGTGGTCTCCTCACTGCCACTTGAAACATCAACGATCAGCATCTTCGTATTGCTGATAGGAGGTAAATTATTTTGGTATTTGTGTTTTGTGTTGGGTTCTATGGTATCGATCCCTTCTAGAGACATAAAGCTCATTGTTTTATGTCTCAAATAGAACCTCCAACTGTTATCGTTTGAAATAGTCCCGTTTGGATAAAAGTTGAACATGTGTAAAGATTTTTTTGCCATCTCTGGCATCAGATTCAGTTGTATTTCAAATGCTTTTGACTCTAAATGACTAGTGAGCTTGTTTTTTTCTTTGGGAGTAAACTGTTCTAAAAGGGGTTTGTGCTGCATTTTGGGACGTATTGCTGTTGATGTTGTATGTGAACCCTCTGGAAAAGGTGCCGACTTCAAGTCATCAGGCTTACAGGCTTGTATGTTTTCCAGTTTATCCGAAGAAACTTTGTCTTGGATCATAGTTTTAACATGGGATTCAGAGATATCCTTGGCTGCTTCACAAATAGGAAGTAAATGCTCTGCATTCGTACTGTCTGCAATTATTTTGACTTCATTACTTTTAACTAGAGGTGGAACGGGTACAGTTCCTGGGAAAGCATTTTGTTGCTGAACCTTTTGTGTGATCATGTCCCATACTGGTTCACTCTGATCCCTTTGCTTGGGTAAGTTTGGATCTTCAAGCCTAGATGGACACTCTGTGGGTGTCAGAATACATCTGGGAATCATTTCTTCTTGCTCGATGACATGCAAGTCTGGTTTTTTAATGACTCTTGAGACGTCATTCCCTAGAACAACCCGTTCTTTTGTTTGAGCCTTTAAGTATTTTTTATTCACTTCACTTCTGAGGTTTGCTTCTGATTTGACATTAGCAAGTTTCGGCATTCGTTGTTTGCCCGCTACAAAGGGCTGCGGATCTTGTGGAACTGTGTTTGTAAAATTCTGTTTCCCTTTTGCAATTGTTAAACGGTCTCTCTTAAAAATTTCACTAGTGTTTAGTGATTTTTCCTGGAATTTAGAAAGGCAGATTCCCTTTTCTCTTTCTAGGTTTGTCTTAGAGTCAGGGTGAGGTGAACTCATCATGGAAATAGAAATACTTCTAATAAATATTCCTGAGACATCTTTACTCCATGAAACCATGTCCTTTAACTTAACATCATACTCTAATTTCTTTCTATTGCTTGGTGTACCATGCCCTGTGATATTAAGCATCTGTGGAATTGGGTGATTCTGGATTTTCATGGTTAAATATTTGGTGCTCAATTCTCTTTTCAGATCTGTTACTGTTAATGTGCCTTTTTGGACTTTACATTTGGAAGAAAGAGGAATATAGGAATAAAAAGAATCCAGGATATGTCTTTGAAACAATTTTTGTAGTTGAATGTTTTGTTTTGCATTAGATGCCTCTAGTTCATTTTTCTGTTTTTTCACGATTAGGCGGCTCTTCTCATTATGAGTGATGACCTGAGTCTTCATTTGAGATTCTTCTGCCTTTAGAGATGGAAGATGCAGGTGTGCACTATGGCTTGTGTCCATTCTTACTTTCTCCTTCTCCAGATTGGCAATTCCAGCCTTATGCCACTCTGTTTTATCTTCTTCCAGAGGGAAAGCTCTGTTTGTGCCTATTTTTAATTTCCCTTCTTTCTGTTTCACAGCACTACCATGGTCCATTTCTAATTGTTTCTGCTCTAGATTTATATTGGTGTTTGTGTCTGGCTGATCTTTTGCTTTCAGATCCCCTGATTGAAATGGAAAAGTCCAGGGAGGAACTAGGGACTTGGGAAGCAATTCCAGAACACATTCCTCTTGTTCTGAAATGAGCGATGCCTGCTCCTTTCCCCCTCGTGTAGTGTCGATCTCTGTCACATCTACGTGTGTTCCCGGTAGTATCTGTGGTATCTGTAGGCCGGGATGCGCTGTTGTTTTCTGGTCCACATCTGTTTCGGACGGTGCCTTCTCCTTTCCACTTTGAAGTGGAAACTTAAGAGAAAGGATAGTGTTCGGCCTGGTCTCGTGCCCATGTTCTGACTGTCGCACTACTTGCTTTTTCATGCCGATATCTTCTTCTTTTTCTTCTATATTTTGTGGGGCATTCCAATTAGTGACAGTACTTATTTTTTTGAGTGATCCCTTTGTTTTTCCTGGCTGAGTCTTTTTCTTTGTAAAGAGCCATTCCAGCCTTTTCTCACTTCTTCTGGTACCAAACCCTGTGAAATAAATGTCCTCATCCTGTGAATTAAAAACTAATCGACTCAAATATCCTCCTGACCTGACTCGTGAAGGTTCGTTCCTCTGCTGGACGCCGATCTTGAAGTTTGAGGTCCACTGTGGCTCTGCCTCTGGGTGGGGCACGTACTGTTCTGCTTGCTTAACAGTGATTTTATCGTCGCCTTCAACTGAGTCTCTCTTTGTTATTTTCTGGATACTTGAGGGTACCCGGAGATTTCGCCATGGACCAGATGGTCCTGCAATTCCTGGTGTGTCTTTGTCGATTTTGTTCCCTGAATCCACATAACGAGGAGGCACCAATGGTACAGAAAGAAAAGTCCGTGGCAGAATCACACATGCTTCGTCTTTATCTTTGTGTACTTTGTTCTCCAGTTTGTTAATATTCAACACTAATTCCTTTGCACGAAGGATATGTGAAATTGGTGAACTCCTTGCCTCTTGGCAGTGTATCCTGACCCTCATCTCTATCGTTTTCACTTCATGCCTGTTTTCTTTCTGTGACCTGTATGTTTTTCCTTTTCTTACATCACCACTCCTTGCCTCTGCCTCTGCTGCTTTCTCTGTGTCTGGTAATGCTGAAGGCGTTAGTGGAAGTAAACAGGATGTCTTACCTCCACGCCTTTCTTCATCTGATTGCGTAGCTCTCCCCAGTTTAAGGTTAGGTGGTAAAAGTTTGGAAGCATAGTTCTTTCTTTGAATCATACCTGGTGGTTTATCTTGACCTTCATCTTCCTTTTGTTCTTGCCCTCTGATGTTCACACGTAGTTCTGTTCTATGGAGCATACAGGAGCGAGGTGACTTCTTTGACTTCAGAGTTATATCTGTGCCTCTAGAGTCTATTATTATTTCCCTTTCTTCTTTTTGAGGGATATGCTGCTTTTCATTTTTAACATCTTTCGAGTTATCACCGACAATTGGCTCTCTATGTACAATCTCCCCTATGTGTGATATTCTCTGCAGAATAGAGCTTTCAAGTCTGAGCATTTCATTATCTAAGTGTGTTTCTTTATCCAATTCCAGTTGAGATAGAGATGGCAATGAAGTAGATTTGGTCAGAACCACACCTGCTTCACCTTCACATTCCTGTATCTTCTCTTCCTGATGTTTGGGGAATATTATGATGTTTTCTATTTGCACTTGATCCTCTTCCTTGTTCTGCGACACATGTTTTTCTTTTTGTAGATGGATTAAAACATCACCAGCAATTGGCCTTATGTCTATGCCTCCCTCAGTATCTGGTGATTCCTGGAGCTTTATCAGGGGAAAAGAGGATCTTGTTAATATCGGTCTGCTTTCCTCTTGAAACTCAGTACTCACGTTAAAGTGAAGTGGGGAGGATCCAGAAGGACTCCTAGACCACATGACACCTGGCGCACTTTTAACTTTCTGAACCTTCTCCTCCTCTTGTTCTCTAGTTTTCCACTGAAGATCACTTGAACTGTGTGTATGTAAGACAGGTGATTTCTTTGCCTTCAAATACATTTTGTTGGGATCCACTACACTGGTCGTATCTGCTACTTCTCCTCTATCCTTCTCTTCTTTCTGTAGCAAGTGTACTTTTAATTGCTTTACATCATTTGAAAGTTCTCCATGGATTGTTTCTGGACACGTTATTCTCCCTGCATCTGATGATTCCTTGAACCATAACTGTGGGAGAGACACATTTTTTCCTGAACCTGATGATAGAGGAAGCTTCAGTTGTGAAGGAGATAATCCATGGTGAGAGGCAGAAGGCGTGAATGGATGGGTTTTTGTCAGAATCACATGAGGACGTCCCGTCCTTTCCTGCTTCTGTCCTGCTCTCTCTTTCGTGCCCCACTGTGTCTTCTTTCTATTGCTCGGAGGACTGTGCTCAGTGATGCTGAACACCTGTGGAGGTGCTGATGTCCTTGCCTTGAAGATGGCACCATTGGGGTGTATTATACCACGCATGGATGCTGTTTGTATTCTGCATTCTTTCTGTGGGAGAGGATGTTTCCCCTTCTTTACAAGGTTCTCTATTGGCTTTGTAGATGCTGTTTGCCCTGAAGGCAATGATTCCCGGAGCTTAAGATGTGGCATACAGCTTCTTATTATTCCTCGTTCGCTGTCTTCTTTTATTGAGTCTAACTCAAGGAAAGTTGAAGAAGTGACAGAAGGACAAGTTTTGCTCAGAAGCACAACTATTTCCACCTCACCTTCCTGTGACTTTTCCTCTTGTTGACTGATGTTCACTTGCAGTTCCTTTGCTTTTAGTGAATGGGAAATGGGTGATTTCTCCGCCTTCATAACTATGTGCTTGGGATGCATTACACTTTTCTCAGGAGTATTCGCCTTATCCTTTTGTATCTGGGCCGTGTATTTTGTTCTTTTTGAATCACCTGCAATATCATTCAGAGACGACGTTGTGTATTTTAATTTCTCTGTATCCGATGAGTCCATGTGCCACGAAGGTGAAGGAAAGGCTCTCGTTACTCCTTGTTTCTCTTTCATGCCTTCTGTTCCTCTATCGAATTCACGGTGAGGTAGAGACAGTGTTGTCAGACCGTCTTCTGATTCACTCTTTCTTTCCTGTACTTGTCTCAGTTTTACTTTTGTGTTTGTTGGTACTTCTCCAGTTTTTGAGCCACCACTGCCAGGAATACTGAGCGTATGTGGAAATGATAATTTCTCTGCCTCAAAAACTGAGCCTTCAGGTTCCATTATAGAATCCATACTTACTGTCTTTCCTCTCTCTGCTTCTTTCTGTAGCTTATTTTCTTGTAATGTTTTTACATCATTTGAGCTGTCCTTCCCAGATGACTTTGTGTGTGCTGTTTTCCCTGCATCAAATGATTTCCGGTGCCTTAACTGTGAAGTAGCAGATTTTATTATTCCTTGTAAGTCTTCCTCTCCTTCTATTCTTGTGTTCAATTTATAACGAGTTAGCGAGGACTCGGAAGGCAGACAGAGGGACAGAGCTGCTTCCTTTTCATGCATGTGCCCATCCTGTTTCCGTGGCTCTATGCCTACTCCATCTGCTTTCTGTTGCTCTTCAACTTCGTGATGCATTTTCCCTTGTTCTTTGTCTTCTCTATCAGCTTTTCCTTGTCCTGCTCCTTTTCTGTCCTCTTTCCCTTGCTCCTCGCCTTCTCCGTCCTCTTTCCCTTGCTCCTCACCTTCCCCGTCCTCTTTCCCTTGCTCCTCGCCTTCGCCGTCCTCTTTCCCTTGCTCCTCGCCTTCGCCGTCCTCTTTCCCTTGCTCCTCGCCTTCGCCGTCCTCTTTCCCTTGCTCCTCGCCTTCTCCGTCCTCTTTCCCTTGCTCCTCGCCTTCTCCGTCCTCTTTCCCTTGCTCCTGAGCGTCGTGATCCATTTTCTTTGGCTTTTTAGGATTCAGTGGTAGGTCCTGTGAAAGTGCCTTCTTTCCTTTTCGACCTTTGTCTTCGGGATGCATTTCGTCTTTCTTAGCTGATATTTTGACTTCATTCTCTTCTTTCTGTTGCATATAATCTTTCACTTTTTGTACTTCAATTGTGGTATCACTCTCATTGGCCACTTCATCTGCTTTTTTCCCTGCCTCTGATGATTTTTGGTGTGATAGTTCTGGAAGATAATTTCTTGTTTTTTCAGTTACATACTCTGCTTTTTCTATTCTTGTATCCAATTGTGAATGAGAAGAAGAAGGGATAGAAGTGCTGGCATTCATCAGAAGCACACTTGATTCACCTTTAATATTTTCTATCTTTTTCTCTTGCCCTTTGATATCCAACTGAATTCCCTGTGAAATTGATAATTTCCTTTTCTTCAAAGGTAATTTTTTTTCCATTTTTAGCTTCTCCTGCTGTTTTTCCAAAATATGTTCTAGGGTCTTTTTTACACTGTTTGAGATATTATGAGAAATATACTTTTCATATGCTATTTTCTCTATATCTGATGACTCTTGGAGATTTGGTTGTGAAAAAGAGGATCTCATTTTCATTCCCATGGCTTCCTCTCCTTTTATTGTGTCCATTTTAGAGTAAGGTAGAAAAGAGATGGAAGCAAAAGCTTTGCTCCAAATCTCAACTTGCTTATCTTCCTGAATCTCTTCCCCTTTTTCTTTGATGTTTAATTCTTGGAACAGTGAAGGCTGCTTTACCTCCAGAGCTATTCTTTTGGAAGGCGTAATTTTTTCCAAAGCCTTTTCCACTCTGTCTTTGTTGTTCTGTGGTGTATGCTTTGCTTTTTCGATACTGCTTCGAATATCATCAACTGGCTGCTCACATTTTTCCACTGTGTCTGATAATTCCTGGCATGTTGAGGATGGAAGACAGAATCTTGTGAATTCTCTTATGGATACCTCTTTTATTCTAGGATTCCATTCCAAGTGAGGTGAAGAAAGAATAGAAGCACAGAGTTTATTCTGAACTACGTCTAGATTACTTTCACCTTCCCGCATCTTCTCTAGTTTTTTACTGCTCCGCTGTGGTTCTTTTCCATGCAGTAAGTGTTTAAAAGGTGATTTCTTTCCTTTCAAAGCGATACATATGAGGCCCATTATATCTTTCACAGCTACTATATTTTCTCTATCTTCCTTATTTTTCTGTGGCAAACATTTTGATTTTATTACATTACTTGAACTCTCTCTATTAATTGACTCTGCAAATGATCCTCTGCTGATGTTTGATGATGCCTGGAGCTTTAGTGGTGGAAGGCAGCCCTTTCGAAGTCCTGACATATCTTTACTTGCTTTTGTTCTTGAATTTGAATTACAATGTGATAGAGATGGTAAAGAAGTACACAAGTTTGTTGGTTTCATATCTGATTTACCTTTACCTTCTTGCATCTTGCCCTCTTGTTTCATAACATCCAACAGCAAAGGAAATTCCTTTATACTGAATATATGTGACAGTGATGATTTATTTGGCTTCAAAATGATGTTAGGGCTTTTTATTCTTTTCATATCCATTGCTTTTACTCTATCCTTCTTCTCTCCCTGTGATCTATGTTGTTTTATCCTTTTAACATTATTTGAGATGACCCCATCAATTGCCTCTTTATTCAATTTGAAGTGAGGTAAAGAAAGAATGGACTCATATATTTTTGCCGCAACCAAATCTAGTTCACTCATTCTGTGTTTCACATTGATCATCTTCTCTGTCACGTTCCACTGCATTTCTAGTCTGTTACTTGGGGCACCACAGTCATTGGTATTGAGTATATGTGAAAATACTGATTTCTTCAATATTGGAGTTCTTCTTTTGTGATGTATCACACCTTTCCTAATAACTTGTTTTATGCTATCCATCTGTCCCTTACTTTCTGGCAAAATAGGCATGGATACAGAAAGAGGATGTAATATTACAGGCAGACATGCTTCTTTTTGCACCTTTTGATTTGCCTTATGTGATTCTGTTTTATTCCCAAATCTCAAGTTGGGTGAGCTGTTATTTGATATTAAATCAAAGACCTGTACCCCATCTGATGATTTCATTCCTTTCAGAAATAAGAGACTTGGATATTTCACAGTTTTATGGTATGATCCTAAAGGCAGCATTGTATCTTGTTTTCTCATCTGCCTTGGAGTAATCAAGGGCACAATCCCTTCTAGTCCATCCTTAGTGACAGCACTTATTTGATCTTCAGAAAACAAGTCTAGTCCTGGAGTCCGGCTTGATGCATTACGTCCTTCTGATATTGCTTCCTTTTCCTGAGGCATTAAATGTTGCAGGAGACAGAGATACTTTTCAGGATAAGACATATGCTCCGAAAAGTTCTCATGGGAAATTGGTAGGCACTGCCATTTTTGGCCCGTTTCGAATAAGGCTTGTCTTTTTTTACTGTTTTGAGTATATCCAACTATAACATCCATTTGTTTTACTGCTCCTCTAGCCTGTGAAGTTAAATGGTCATAATGCAGAATATTCACAGCATCTAATTTCTCTTCTTGCATCGAGGCATTGAATTGATGTAGATCTGTTTTGGAGTGAGGTGCAGACTTCGGAAGAGCCTCGTGTGTACATTTTTCTTCTTGTTCTGACTGTCCTGGAAAAAGCAAGCCAGTTTCTTTTGTACTTGAAATGTGGTACCCTGAACTATCTGCTGTCTTTACTTCTGGTGACTTAATTTCATGTATGTCCATTAAAGAGTGAGAAGCAGATGCTGGAGAAGCCTTGTGTGTACTTTCTTGCGGATGTTCTTTTCTTCTTTTAATATTCAAATGTATTCCTGCTGACAATGGAGGTTGATCCACCGGAATGCCTACTTTGTGTGGTGCCTTCTCTATCATTGGGCCTAAAACTTTTGAACTCATTATTTCTTCTGCTGAGCCTTCTTTCTTGGGATTTTCAATATGAAGTTGATGCAGTGTGCAAGGGAAAATGGATTCCAGAATATTCTCTTTATTCTGATAACAACTACTTAGTTGCTTTGCACTCAATTTTTTTGAAAAGTCCATTTTCTTTCTATTTGATTTTAATGTAATATTAGTTAATTTTGATTGCTCTCTTCCCCAAAGATTTTCATTGAAACTTTCAGAGATGCTAACATTTTCTTTCCTTGTTTTCTCTGTCTGTTTTAAGTGAAGAGGGTCCTTCCTGGGGAAAGATACAGAATCCAGAATACTTTCAGGAACATAATCTGGATTCACCTGTCCTTTCTGCACTGTAGGCACTTTGTGAACCTCTGAATTTGTACAAAAAAATTTCTGTCCTTTAGAACCTATTAAGATATCAGTTTCCTTTAATCCTTCTCTTCCCAATACGTGTGGAATATTTTTTCTGTTAATGTACACATCTTCTTCCTCAGCTGTCTTTCCTGGGTTTTCCAAATGAAGAGGTTCCATAATGGCGCAGGCCATTGACTCCAGGTTTGTCATAGAAATACCTTCTTGTGTCAGCAATTCCTGCTCCTGGCAAATCTGTTGAGAAGTATCTAACTCTGTAAAAAGTCTATTCTGTCCTTTTGAGTTTAGTGGAATATCTAATCCCTTCGATCCTTCGCTCCCCCATGGAGCTGGAACTGAAACTGGATGTTTGGCCATGCCTGTATCTTTTTCCTTTGCTCTTTGTGCAAAGAGAAATTCAAGTTCTACATCTTTTCTAATTCTTGGGGTGTCACAACTACTGTAATTAATTTGTTGTGAACTAATTCTTAATGGTTCAATATAGTATTGGGATGTGTCTTCTAAAATGCTTTGGTGTTTTTGTTCCTTTTCTCTACTATCTTGTTCCCGTTTCCTAAGAATGCCGGACATATCAGTACATCCCGACAATGACCTTTGCGTTTCTTGTAGTGGTTTCTCCAGCTTTAACTGTGGAAGAATGCATGCCGTGTCTTTTGGCTTGTCTTTCTCCATTTTTACTTCTGTAAGCTTTTTAATGCCAGACACATAGTATCCAGAGTCATAAACAGCCTTTAGAACTCCATGTACTGCATTTTCACTCAGCTGGAATGCCTTCTGCTGCTGGATGTTACCTCTGGGTTCTTTTTGATTGCCTGCAGTACCACATTCAAGCACCTGGGAAACTGGTATTTCCTTTGCCTTCAATTTTACCTGCTTGGTATGCAGAGTACTTTCCACATCTGCTGTCTTTGCCTTCTCTTTATGTCTTATGATTTTAGTAAAAATAGATGTGTAGGGATTAGGAGAACTCCAGGTAGTGCCTGAGACACACGGCTCTTGCTGTTTCTTTTGCAGGGCAAGTGTCTTGGGATCTGCTCTTGTTTTCCAGTCTTCAGTTTTAAATTCTTTCTTGCTTTCAATTTGAAGTTGATTTATCTTAGAGAAAACAACAGACTCTGGATTAAACTCTTCTGCAACATTTATCTTTGCTACTTGATCCATTGAATCAACTTCTGTTTTCTGGGGAGTGATGTTCTTAGAAAACACTGTACTGACCAAAGGTGCTTCTGCTTTGAAAGGACCAGGCTCTCTCATTTGACCTGCTCCAAACTCAGGTGGCTGGATATACTGTGGAGCTGTTCGGAAGCAAACCTGTTGTCCATACCCTTCTTTCTCCCTAACTTTTGCTTTGTTTAAGGCATTTCTTGTTTCAGAAGTTTGTTCATCTATATCCCAGGTGCCAGCTGATTGCTCCATTTTTATGTGTAGTAGACTAGGTATAGAAACACATGTAGATTTTAGCTTTAATGCAGCTTCATTTCTCTCTACTTCTGTCGTCTGGGCTTTAGAGTTCTGTTTCTGTTCCTCATGAATGATTAGAACAGCATGACCTGCAGTATCAAATGATTGTGGAACTGCTGATTGCTTTGCCTGCAAAGGTCTACCTTTGGGACTTGACCTGTCAGCTATTTTAAGGCTGTCATTCTGTCTTTTCATCTCCTCTGAAGCAGGCAAATGCCTGCCAACAGAACCAGGGACAATTCCTGCCAGATTACAGAACACTTCTTCTTTTAAAACAGAATAGCCAGTGTTCTCTTTATCGTATTTATTTGATATGGCATCATCTGTTGGCTCACTCAGTTCTGCACAATTAGCTGATGTCTCCTTCCTTGGGAGCCCAACTTTGAGACTTCCTTTTCCATTTTTGTTTTTTTCTGTTTTTACATTTTTTTCTGAATTTCCTTTGTAAATCTGACTTTTGGAGAAAAAAGGTTCTCCCAAAAGCACATCTTCTGATTTACCAGGATGAGGATCCTTTCTAAGATATGTATTTGCTGTGAAGTTTTCTGCACAGAATGAACCCATTTCTGTAAGATGTTCTTGCTTCTCTTCCCCACTTTCTCTATCATGAAGTTTTGCCCCCTTTAACAAGTTGGAAGTTCCTCTCTTGTCAGTGGAATCAGAATACCTTGTTATCCATTCAGCTGGCGACTCTATTTGTGTTGGTTGTGGATGACTTAACCCTGATATTCTCATGTCTATCTCTGTTTGGAATCTGCTTTGCTTTTCAATGTCAGCGGTATCTGGTGTGAAGAAAATGGTATTTGGAAATGTATCAGCCACATTTACACCTCGCCACATTGCTTTCAGTTTGGTTTTTAAATTGGATTCCAGTTTCTTCCTATGTTTTGTAGTAAACTGTCTATTGATTTTATGTATCTGTGAAACGGGTGCCTTCTTTTCCTTCAGAGTTAAACATTTGTGATTCAATATAATTTTCCTTTCTGATAACTGTACTGTGTTTATCTGGCTTTTAGAGTCAGATAAAACATGCATGAAGAAATCTAAAGAACCCAAGAAGCTTGCAGCTAAGTTTTCTTGTACCTCTTCCTTTTCCTCTGTAATATGACCATGATTTTCTTGGAGTGTTCTGTTAGATAGAGTTTTTAAATAGGATTTAAGTTTCTTCCTATGTTTTGTGGCAGATTGCCTGTTGATTTTATGTATCTGTGAAATGGATGACTTCTTTTCCTTCCTAGGTAAATATTTAGAATCCAGTATAATTTCTTTTTCTGATAAGTTAACTGTGTTCATCTGGTTTTTAGGGTCAGATAAAACCGGCATGAGGAAATCTAAAGGACCCAAGGAAGTTGCAGCTACGTTTTCTTGTACCTCTTCCTTTTCATCTGTAAGACCATCCAGATTTTGTCTGCATGTTCTGTTAGACAGAATGCCCCTCACTGCTGTGTTGAATAAGAGCTTATCGATCACTGATTTGGATGGTAGACTCTTCGCGTATTCAGTGGCACTGAGTAATGCCTCTCCTCTACTTGTGTACCATTGCCTCCCTTTCGTCTTGTACTTAAAGTGGTGTTGCTTTTTCTTTCCATGGTTTTCTCTAGGATATCTTATGATATTAAACAACTGTGAAATTGGCAGTTGCTTTGCCTTCAAAGTTACATTGGCTATTCCCTTATTAATGAAAGCTGGACACTTTTCTTCCCTTCCAATTTGGGATTCCTCTTGGACTACCTTTATATGACTATGATTCTCTGCATTTAATCTGCTGTGCATTCTAGTATTAGGCAAAATAGACATGTGAGGGTTAATAACATTCAGAAGCACACCTGCCACAATTTTATCTTGCAGTATCTGTTTAATTATGATTTCAAAATTGCCTCCCATTTTTTTCCTGTGGTTTGGAGTACCACATATATTGATGTAAGGCATCAGTGAGATTGCTGGCTTCTTTACTTTCATAATTACATATTTGACACTGAGTTCATTTTTTGTTTCTGATAATTTTTTTTTAATTTTCTGCCTTTTAAGATGTGATGAAGTAAGCAAGTGGATATTGAAAGACCCTAGGGAAACTGCAGGTAAATCTCTTTTCACGTCTTCTTTTTCTTCTACAATATGACCATCCATTGTCTTTCGGAGGTTTCCACCAAATGGAACACTATACTCTGTTGTTTCAATTGAAAGTTCACCAACTGCCAAGTTCTCTGGCACTGTAAGTGGATTCTTTGGATCTGCAGCACTCTTTCTGTCTGTAGGTCTATCTGTGCTTTGCTTCACCTTCTCAACTTGAAATGGATCCATCATGGGGCATGGACTAGTCTCCAAAATTGTTTGTGTAGAAAGAGTTTGTGGTTGTATCTCTTGCTCTTTGTTTGGGGCTTTACTACTTCCTGAACTGATCTGTTCCATTTCAAATTTGATGTATTTGGGTCTTTGCTTTAGATGCATGCTGAAACTGAAGTCTTGTGTCAGCTCTGAAGTTGCTTCTTTCTCCTCTTCCTTTCTATCACGTTGTTGTGACTTTTTAAATGTAGAGCTTTTATCAATGTATTCTGCATTCTGTGTTTTCTTCTCATCTGGTAATTTCTCATGCTTTGACACTGAGTGACTGACCCTTATTCTTCTTAATGTGTCTGCCTTTGCTTTTAATCTGCTATGCATTTCTGTATGAGATAGTTCAGAAGTGGTAGTGTAAGTGGCACTGTGAAATTCATCAGACATTTCTTTATCTTGATGCATGTTCGTTATGTTATTTCTCGTGTTGCATTCTAGTTCCTCACTTTCACTTACGTCATCTGTAACATTAAGTATCAGTGGTTTATTTTCCTGCAGATTTACACTTTCTGTACTCACTTGAATTTTTATGGCTCTTAATTCTTCACTGCTTTTGTGCATATTGCTTCCCAGGGAAACTGGCAAATGGACATTTGACAACTCCAGAACAAGTTCCAAAAAATCTTTTTGTCTCTGTGTATTTTCCCTTGGAAAGCACCTTTGCATTTTTGGTGTACTGGTTGGTAAATCCCCTCCACCTGAAAGTTGACGATGGGCATTCTCTGAACTTTGCAGGACCTCCTGTATTTTCATTCTATTGTTCGATTCCACTTTGGGAGAGGAAATGAGCTTCTGCCTAGGTTTTGATATAGCATCTTCTAAAGATGTCTTGTGCTTCAGAATATGCAGATCAAATGGTTTTCTACTATTTGGAGCATGAAATTCTGTAATAGCAATTTCCTTTGCTTGTGTAACTGGGTCTTTAAGAGATTCCTTACTTTTCCCATTTGTTTCTACTAGTAAACAAGGTGCTTTTAGTTGATCGGTGTTGACCATGAAGAATTTTTCTAGCTGAGATAAGATTTTTGGTGAAATATTTTTTAGTCCTTTATTTTCATTGTCACGCTCCTTTTCCTTTTTAGTAACACGTGAGATTTCTGTCCTCTCAGCAGCACCCGGATAATTGATTTTCTCTGTATCTGGTGACTTATTTTTCTTCTGCAGAAAATGTCCACGTTTTAGTAAATCTGGCATGAATTTCACTAGTTGTTTTCTGGAATAAGTTTTAACATAAGGCAGAATAAGCTTGGAAACAGAAATAAGATGCAAAGCTACATCTGATATATCTTTCCTTTCATGTAATTCTTTCTTTTCAGTGTTATTCTTGCATCCTAACTCATTCCTATTTTTTCTTAAAGTGTGACATGCTGTGATTTGAAATACTTGTGAAGTTGGTGGTTTTCTGGCTTTTAGAGATGGAACATTAAGACTGAGTTTGTTTTTACTGTCTGGTGTTTTTCTTCTATTTTTCTGCCCTTTAATGGTAGACGAAAGAGGCACTGAGCTATATACAGAATCTTGGTTTAATTCTGATGAAACAATTTGTTGCTGGCCTTGTGGTTTTACACTCCTTAGGTGTGGAATATCTTCAGCAACTAAATCTGGATTCAGAGTTAAAACTAGAAATCCAGCATTCTTAAAAATAGTATCTTGCCTCTTAGTTGAATATTTAATCTTGTTTGAATATTCACCTAAGTGTTCATCAGACTCCAGGCTCTTGACTGAATATTGTGCCTCAACGACTGATGGAACTTCAACAAAATGTTGGTTCCTTTCCAAATCTTGGGACTGAAATGAGTCCTGTGCGCTGCTAGAAAATGGCTTCGTCATCACATTTCGAGGCTGGGCAAAGTCGCTGGCCTTAATATCAGGCTGGCTGTTGATTGATTCTTGGTTATGATTCACATATTGGGCTTGACTAGTCAATTGGGCTTCATAAAGACCCTGACTCTGAATAGTATTTTGTCCTGGAAAAGAATCCTGTGCTTGGACAGAAATAACCATTCCAACGGAAGCTTGGTTCTGACTCAAGGACTCATGAGATCCCGAACATGGGTAAGTACTTTTACCCTCTAACTTAGCTTTTGGCTTTGGAAGAAAAATACGATTTCTCACATTTTCTTCCAGAAGGCTAACTTGATCTCTAGAAAGAAATAAATGGGCAGGAGGGCAAGATGCCGCATCTAGGTCTTCATTTTCTACAGTGAATCTAGAAGCTGAAAAGCTAAGATCAGAAGAAAAGTCTGAATTTTCGTTTTTGTTGGTTTTCATCATTGAAAATAATTTCTTGGAGGAAAATTGTGTTGTTTCATATTCATATTGCATTGTTTCATATTCATTGCACTGTTTCATATTCATTGGATGTCCTGTATGGCTTAGACACATTTCCGCTACTTCTGAATGAAACGACGACAAAGATGAGCTGATGCCATTTGAAGATGGCATATGACTTTCACTAGAGTGACTTACTTGTTCTTCACTTTCAGTAGTACCTGACCTTATTATTTCATGTGATAATAAAATTCTATCTTCAAAGTTACATTCCTTTTCTTCAGATGTAAGTAATGAAGTAATTCTTTTTTCTGAAAAGGTGCCAACTCTTAAATATAAGAAAACAGTGTGCAAATGAATAGTAGGAGATATTTCACATAAGAATTACCTTCCAGATTCAAGAAAATGCCATATAGTATATGCAAAAGATTAGTATAGTGACAAATTGGAAAACCATTATCCACATTACAAAACAATTCATTGCCTAGTCTTTTTACTTAATAAACTAGTCAACTGAAAAAGTGCAGTCAATCAATTATATATCTCAGAGAATATACCTCAGCATCTCTAAAAGTCTATTTTTGAAAGGAGTGGGTCAAGGTTGCTGGATTATTATTTCACAAGGGATACCTTTTCTGCTCTCTACATGAAAGTTTTCACAAAAAGAAAACATTCTATGGAAATGTAACAGAAGAATACCAATCGTATAAACTAGCTGTCTATAGATAAAGCCAGATTATCTTAACAGTTCTTTGTGATCAACAGAAAAGCCTAAGTTTTAGGGAAACATGTCTCAGTACAACGTTGGGCTGGAGTGATGATAATAGATGATGGGAACTTGCCAACATCCATGCACCTCAAATGATTAGTCTCAGTCTAAGTCCAACAGCATCAGCATGATCTGGTGTGATGGTGAATTTTGTTTGTCTATTTCCGGGCAATGATGCCCCGATATAAGATAAAACACTATTCTGGATGGTTCTCTGAGGTGTTTTGGATGAGATTAACATTTATACCAATGAACTGTAAGAAAAGCAGATTGTTTTTCCTAATGTGGGTGGGCATGACCCAATTAGTTAAAGGCCTGGATAGAGCAAAGGACTGACACCTCAACCCCCGGACATACTCCAACAAGAGGAAATTCTGCCAGTAGACAGCCTTTTGACTTAAACTGCAGATTTTAGATTTGCCAGTCACCATAATTGCTTGAGACAATTCTTTAAAATAAATGTCTTACTTTATGTGTGTGTGTGTGTGTGTACACACACACACACACACACACACACACACATTCTACTGGTTCTGTTTCTCTGGAGAACCCTGACAAGATGCCTGGAAACTTATTTGGAGTGCATATTCTTTGGTCCCATCCAACCCTGTGGAATCTGAAGTTTTGGAAGTGGGGTCCAGAAATCTGAGCTTTAATAAGCTCTCCAGCTGATTCTGATATACAATGAATTTCGATAGTCACTGTTTGATGGATTGGCAAGCCTAAAGTCAAAAACTGAAATGCATATAAACTAGGTCAGATAATTCTAGTAGCTATTTGTTGAGGGACCACAGATTACCTCATACTTTACTGTAAGTGTGACTTTACTTCTAAATAACTCAAAGTAGTGAAGTCAGTATATGAAATCCATCATGATCTACCCAACTGCAAAAATTATGTGTGCTAAATGATTACTTAGAGAACTGAGAAATAAAAATGAAATGCTAAGTCCCACAATTGACTGAATGGACCGCCACTTGGCCAAGGGGACCCCAAAGAAACCTTAAAAAATGAATTCCTGACCATGATGGGATGGGAGTCGAACAGGCCTTATTCTGCCACCTCCCTCCCTCAATATCATTAGGCTTTCTTCCTAAGGGTAAACAGAGCAGCCCTTTGGAAAGCCTTGCTCCACCCTTGATATCAACCAAGGATCTGATGCTGCCTCTCACTTTCACTTTCAGCAAAACAACCAGCTAGCATTCCTTCCTGATAAGAGACCCCCAACCACAGAGTGGTTCTGGCCAGTCTAGAGAGGATGTGCAGTGGGGCTTTTCATGTCCCCTGCTTCACCTTTTGATGTCAGAGGGACAAAAACTCCACCCTCAGACAATGCCAAAGCTGCCATTTTTTGAACATGAGATCCATGGAGAGAAATGAAGCTCAATTGCTCATGTGGACATTTCTCCTTTCATAAATATTCATGACTCTTCTTCCTTCTATGGACTATGAGTATTATCCACCTCATTCAGCATGATTTCCTGTCTTATTCTTTGTGCCCTCCAATGGCCTGTTTCTGGCTTCTGACAGGAGGCTACACTTCCCAGTCTGTCAGAAAGGATACCCTGAAGGCTGCAGCCCTTTATGAACACCATCATCTCTCAGTTGATACAATGAAATCTCATTAATCTGGATTTGGATAATTAAAATTTGGGGTATTTTAGGCCATATTAATGATTATGTTTTTTCACAGATAACACAAAAATATTAGGTAAATATATAAAATATGTTAGTTTTCAAGTTCTCTCAATTTTTAGAGCACTTATTAACCTCTAATATATAGGCTATTTGATGGGCTGAATTGTGTTTCTCTAAAATTCATATGTGGGAGTTCTAACCCCAGTACCTCAGAATGTGACCATATTTGTAGACATGGCCTTTAAATAGATTATTAAAGTTAAATGAGGTCATATGGGTGGGCCTTAATCCATATTTGGAGATAAGGCCATCAAAAGGTGATTAATTTAACTGATGTATTTATTTCGAGTCAGGCTCTAATCCAATATGAGTGGTGCCCTTGTAAGAAGAGGAAATTTGGACACAGAGACACCAGGGACATGCACATACAGAGAAAAGAGCAGGTGATGCACATGTATGTTTATTGCAGTACTATTTACAATAGCAAAGACTTGGAACCAATGCAAATGCCCATCAATGATAGACTGGGTAAAGAAAATGTGGTACATAAACACCATGGAATACTATGCAACCATGTAAAACGAGTTCATGTCTTTGCAGGGACATGGATGAAGCTGGAAGTCATCATTCTCAGCAAACTAACACAGGAACTGAAAACCAAACACTCCATGTTTTCACTCATAAGTGGGAGTTGAAAAATGAGAACACATGGACACAGGGAGGGGAACAACACACACCTGGGGCCTGTTGGGAGGTGGGGGTGAGGGGAGGGAGAGCCTTAGGACAAATACCTAATGCATGCGGGTCTTAAAATCTAGATGATGGGTTGATAGGTACAGCAAACTGCCGTGGCACATGTATACCTCTGAAACAAACCTGCACCTTCTGCACATGTATCCCAGAACTTAAAGTAAAATGTAAAAAAGAAGAGAAAAGAGCATGTGAGGACACAGCAAGAAAGTGGCCATCTGCAAGTCAAGGAGAGACACCTCAGGAGAAACCAAGCCTTTCAGCCTCCAGAACCATGAGAAAACACATTTCTGTTTTTTAATGCCACCTAAGTTGTGGTACTTTGTTATGGCAGCCCCAGCAATCTAATATAGGCTGTGTACACGTCCTCGTTATCTACCCATTACTTTAAGTGTGTGATCTTTGGTAGAAAGTTCTGTTCTTCAACTAAGACATGATGTCTACCCTCCCACACCTATTGTACCTCAGATCATTAGGCTCAGTAGAACATAGTAATCCCATTTCTAAGTGATTAGTTTAGGAATGGGCATGATCTAATCCTAACATAAGAAAACGCTGAAGCAGGCCAGGTCGGGTGGCTCATGCCTGTAATCCCAGGACTTTGGGAGGCCAAAGCAAGTGGATCACTTGATGTCAGGAGTTTGAAACCAGCCTAGCCAACATGGTGAAACCCCAACTCTACTAAAAATACAAAAATTACCTGGGCCTGGTGGCATGCACCTGTAGTCCCAGCTCAGGCAGTCCTGTAGCCCCAACTCCGGAGGCGGAGGCTGAGGCAGGAGAGTCACTCGAACACAGGAGGTGGAGGTTGCAGTGAGATGAGGTTGTGCCATTGCACTCCAGCCTGGGCAACAGAACGAGACTCCATCTTAAAAAAAAAAAAAAATCCCTGAAGCAAACCATTTCGGAAAATCTAAAAATCCAATGTACGATCAGGAGTCTGCCTTGCTCACTGGGACTAAGCCTGGTCCACACAGTTCTCTCTAGTTTCTCGTGTTACCGCCTGACATATAATTTATTTATTATGTTGTCGTTTATTATCTGACCCTCTCTCACCCTCACACAGTGTTTGTTACTGCTGAGTCTCAAGGGCCTGCGACAATGCCTGACACAAAGAAGGCAATCAGCAAGTATTTGCCAAACGGCCATCTCCACCTCCAGGCTTCTGATTACTAACAACAAACTGCCCCAACTCTTTCCTCAATTTCAATGAGGAGAAAAGAATCCCTCATATACAAACGACTCATAGAAGTGGCTGATTTTAGTGAAGACTTGGAGGCAGAAGCAGGATAGAGTTGATTACAGCCATGCAAAGGGCTCCCATTTAAACATTAGGTATGTCTCCTCATTTGTGAAAGGTCCTTTGGTCTCTCCTGACCAAGGAATCTTAATTGGCTCTTGAGATTTAAAAAAAAAACAAAAAAAAACTCCCCAGTCTCCTAGGAAAAGACGGTCAGTTGTAGAGCCATGGTAACCAGTACCAGAACTGGTTGTCAATCAGTCAATGGCAATCGTGTAGTCACAGTTACAAATAAACAGCAAGTCTGCTTTTAAACTGTTTATGATAACTCTCTTCAGGAAATGCACTTCTGAAACCAACCAGTCAGTGACAAGTTTAAGCTTCGAAAGTCAGGTAGTTGCTGGCAGACTGTCACTAAAGCATGCACCTAGGGGTAAGGCCAACCCTAAAACATACCACTCCCCCAAATCTGATAGAAGGCCAGCCATTTGCTTTGCTTACTGAGACTATGCCTGGCCAGCTCAGCTCCCCGGATTTCAGATACTGAGTGGTGGTCTCATCCTTTATGCCACTCAGTCCTAAGCATCACACCACTACACTTGCACCTCCCTCTGTTCTGCTCCCTTCTTCCCCTCAGCTTCCCCTTTCTCCTTTGTCCCATTTCATAAGCAAGATAAAATCCACCTCTAATGTAGTACACTTTAGCTATTCTGATGCTTAGGCTTCGGCCAATATAGCCTTCTTTCTATTGCAAAATAATGTATTTAAATGTTGCCCCACTATTTACAATAGCAAAGACATGGAACCAACCCAAATGTCCATCAATGATAGACTGGATAAAGAAAATGTGGTATATCTACACCATGGAATACTATGCAACTATAAAGAGGAATGAGTACATGTCCTTTGAAGGGACATGGATGAAGCTGGAAGCCATTATCCTCAGCAAACTAACAAATGAACAGAAAACCAAACACCACATGTTCTCACTCATAGGTGGGAGCTGAACAATGAGAACACATGGACACAGGGAGGGGAACATCACACAGCAGGGCCTGTTGCGGGGTGGTGGATGAGGGGAGGGAACTTAGAGGATAGGTCAATAGGTGCAGCAAACCACCACGGCACACGTATACCTATGTAACAAACCTACCTGTTCTGCACAGGTATCCTGGGTTTTTTTTAGAATAAATTTTTTAAAAATTAAATGCAATCACATTATTTGAAGGTGTCAATGGTAGGAAAACAAAAGATGCTGTTCCAAAAATAGTTCTTTTCTTCTCCAAAAATTCATATTATTTCTTTTCTCTTTCTCTCCCTCTCTCTCCCTTTTTGAGCTGGAGGAGTCTTGCTCTGTCACCCAGGCTGGAGTGCAATGGCAGGATCTCATCTTACTGCAACCTCCACCTCTGGGGTTCAAACATTCTCAGCCTCCTGAGTAGCTGTGATTACAGGCGCATGCCACCACACCTGGCTAAGTTTTGTATTTTTAGTAGAGATGGGATTTCAGCATGTTTTCCAGGCTGGTCTTAAACTCCTGACCTCAAGTGATTTGCCCACCTCAGCCTCGAAAAGTGCTGGGATTACAGGCGTGAGCCACTGTGTTATACATAGTATTTCAACTAATCTTCATGATATTCCTAAGAAGTAATTATTCTAATCCTTAGTTTGAAAATTAAAAAAAAAAAGAGGTATAGCAAGTTTAAGTCATTAGCCCAAGACCATGCCATCATTAAGAGGCAGAACTACAGGGCCAGGTGCGGTGGCTCACACTTGTAATCCCAGCATTCTGAAAGGCTGAGGTGGGCGGATCACCCAAGGTCAGGAGTTCGAGACCAGCTTGGCTAACATGGTGAAACCCCGTCTCTACTAAAAAAAAAAAAAAAAAAAATTAGCCAGGCGTGACAGTGGGTGCCTGTAATACCAAGTAGTATGGAGGCTGAGGCAGGAGAATCACTTGAATCCGGGAGGCAGAGGTTGCAGTGAGCCAAGATCACACTATTGCACTCCAGCCTTGGCAACAAGAGCAAAACTCTGTCTCACAAAAAAAAAAAAAAAAAAAAAAAAAAGAGGCAGAACAATGATATAAAGCTAGACCTGTTTTAAATTCAGAGTTTGTTTTTTCATCATAATATGCTGGTGCCATAGGAGCAATGTCTTTTCTCTAATCCTTTTTCTTCAACACCACCCCAAACCTCCTCTTCTCAATTAATTTCCCTTAACGCCCCCTAGAAAGGTGCTACCCAAGGATTAACTCCTGTCTAGGCAGGATGGGAATAACAGGACACAGGGATGAAAATCTTCAACGTGTCCTTTCTGGAGGACACTTTGAAAAAGTTCCGTCTCTCTCTCTCTCTTTTTTTTTTTGAGACAGAGTTTTGCTATTGTTGCCAAGGTTGGCATGCAACGGCACGATCTTAGCTCACTTCGACCTTTGCCTCCCAGATTAAAGCGATTCCTCTGCCTTAGCCTCCATAGCAGCTGATATTACAGGCACCCACCATCATGCCCACTAATTTTTTATATTACTAGTGGAGATGGGCTTCCATCATGTTGACCAGGCTGGTCTCGAACGCCTGACCTCAGAAAGGACAGGAGTTTTTTTCAGATTCTAAAGCTGTAAATCCTTTTTTCCTCCATTTCTTCCTGTGAATTCTTCTTGCCTGTTAATGCTCTGGTTTTGAATTACATGTGAACAGTAGCCCAAAAAGGAAATAGGTCACCACGCACACCTAACCCCTGTAATATCTCAAATGCTGACTTTTGGTCTGCCCAGTTGGACTTAACTCTGTCTGCACTACCGACTTGCTGTAGCTTGTGCTGGCATTCCTGTTCCCAACCAGGCCTGACAAGGGTTCTACCTACTCACACCTCTGGGCATTGTTACAGCTTCCCTGAGAACTAGAGTTCCTAGTTTCAAATACAAAAATATCATAACCAGATTAAATGGATAAAGCCCTTTTATACCTGACAAAAGGAAGAAATTAGATGAAGATCAAATAATCCTCTGATTCACACAGCGACTAGTCACACAAGTGACTAGTGATCTAACTGTAACACAAAACCACCCTTATGTGTAACCACCGCTAGTGGTTGTTATCTACAGAACTGAATCCAGACTTTCACACGTGGTGTAGAAAGCCCTCCACGACCTGACTCCTACCTACCTCTTCACATTCCTCTTCCACTACTTCCTAATTCAACCTCAACACTCCAGCAACTCTGGAATAATAGTAATTTCTTGCTGCTGTTTCTGCTCACGTCCTGGAATGTCTTTATCTTCCTAAACATGTTTTCTTTTTGGGCTAATGTTCATTCATCCTTTAAAATTCAGCTCCAGCATAATATTCTTTGTGAAGCCATTCCCAACACCCTAGGCTGACTTAAGGTATCTCTTAAATGTTCTAATATTGCTGTCGCTATGTCACCATATCGCAAGGCAATTACCCTTTGTGTACACATCTCCACAAGAATATAAGCTTCTTGAGAACAGAGACTATCTTATGGTTTGAATCCCAGTGTTGGTGTCCACTATATAGTAGATACCTAATAATCGTCGAATGGATTTCAATTAAAACAGCTGAAATATTGATAGCAACTAGAGTAGTGATTATGTCAGTATTTAATCCCTAGCACTGAGAGAACTTTCCAATTCTGATAAATTCTGATTTTACAAACTCCTTTCATGTCACCCATGCAGCACCTAGCTCTGTGTTTGCTTGGTCCACAGTAAGTGCTAAACAACTGTCTTTTCAATTGAATTGTAAGAACGGATGTATTGGAGAGAGAGTTACAGGAGGAAACCAAGTCACTGATCCTCTTCAAGCCTTATTTTCCTCATCTGTAAAAACTATAAGAATACTATCTACCCTGGAGGATCATTTCAATAATACACAAAAAGCCCTTGACACAGCTTGGAGCATAGCAACCATTTAAAGTAAATGTTAGACTGAATCACGATGCTGAACAGCTAGGAAAACCCTTTTCTGAAAATCCGAAGTAAAGGCAATTTTGAATAGAACACAACCAACCTATTTCATTTAGCTTCAAAATGTATATGTAACATATCACATACCTTTCTTCTGAAGATGAGTTAATAACTGACAAATTCTCTGGAGCTGAATAGGAATAAAAAAGTGACAGTATCAATGAAAAAAGCTCAGATTAAACAAGTTTTATATTAAAATATGAAGTTGTATAATATTTACCAAATGTCATGCTCTTCAGGCAACTGTCTTCCCTCTATTTTAATGGAAAAAAATTGTTAGAGGAATAATCCTGGTATCAAAGTTCACAAATTTTATAAATTATTCTTATGTGTAACTTTGAAAAACAGGGAAAGGGGAAATCAGCCATTTGTTCTTACCTCCTGGACATCTGATCTACCCTTTTCAGGAAGTGTGGGATTCTTCCAAAAGTATGCACAAGTTTTCATGAATATTATCTCAAAAACAATTCCCAGAAAAAATTATAAAGAAAATTTCCATCCAATCATTTTGAATAATCCAAGCCTCCAGAAAGTCCCATAATGTCAAAAATGTATTATCTTCCAGTTCACCCGCTACCCCTTTTTTAAAGGAATAATATTGGTTTGACAATTTAATGTAATATGTGAAAAAGACTGGTGTCTCATTCAGAAGTCCTTGATTTCAGAGGCCCTGAAATATAGAAAGTTGGTATGCCCGACTCATAACCTTGTGTAAACTCAGCCAGTGCTGCTTGGTGTCTTATCAAGGGCAGCAGTGATTGCTCTGGGCCTAAGTTAAGTGAGGTACGTGTCATAGTGGGTATTTAACTGAGCTCATATCAACTTACTTTAGCAATAATGGAAGTTCAGAGGTAAGAAATGTACAGTGCTGAGTAGTTTTTTACTAAAATTCAAAAAATTATATTTTCTTAACTTCATAGAAAGCAACATAATTCTATCATGGATTGCCACTGTCCTATTATAAATATAAAATATATTTGAATTGGTAGAAAGGATTTGATATAACCGTTTCTATTAACACTAGCAATCGTGTATTTTACGCTTCTTTGTGGTCAGGAAAATATAGTCCTTTCTTGAATGAATATAGATAAGGTTGACAGATTTAGCAAATAAAAACATTAGATGCCCAATTTAATTTGAATTTCAGAGAAATGTCAAATAATTTTTTTAGTCTAAGTATGTCCCATTGTGACCATGGAGAATGTATGATGACTTGTCTTTCATGGGCCCCATTTTTTTTCTTAAAATAGAACACATTTTATATTTCTTCTTGCTAGCAGGCTCTGTTGGCACCATTCCCCTTCAACAATCTATTGATATGCTGAAAGCTAACATGTTTTTGGAGTAACCTCCTGGTGAATTTCCTTTTCACCTTGTCTACAGTGATCCCAAGGAGCTACTTGTGAAGTGCTTTCCGATGTCAGAATTAAGGGTGGGGCAGAGGCAGATGTCAGTACAGTACTGCTCACTCTCAAAGTCTAGTGGGTAGACCTGGAAGCTTGCTGAGGAAATACAATTTTAATCACAAGAAAACACGACAGTCTGGACTGGTTATGAAAATGTTAACACTACCTTGGATTTAGAGTACTCTTCCTTTGAAGGTGTAATTCATTAATACTTCCTTTGCAGATGTAATTCATTAATGCTTCACTTTTTTTGGTTTTGTTTTTAGTACTTCACTTATCCAAGGTAGGCTGAGCAAAGAAGTAGTATTCATTACCCCGAAGGAAACTGTTCAGGCCCCTTTTGTCACATCAATTTAAATAAGTGCAACAAAGATTTACAAATTCAGCTGGGTGAAGTGGCTCATGCCTGTAATCCCTAGCACTTTGGGAGGCTGAGGTAGGTGGATGGCTTGAGCCCAGGAGTTTGAGACCAATACTAGGCAGCATAAGTGGACCCCTGTCTTCACCAAAAATTTAAAAATTAGCCAGGCGTGGTGGTGTGCATCTCTCGTTAGTCTCAGCTACTCAGGAGGCTGAGGTGGGAGGACTGCCTGAACCTGGGAGGTAAAGGCTGCAGTGAGCCATGATCCCGCCACTGGACTCCCATCCTGGACAACAGAAAGAGACACTGTCTCAAAAAATATATATATCAGCTCTTACTGTTGCTGAACATTAAAACTCATGAGGTCAATGACATTCTAAATGTTGGAATTTACAGTCCTCCAGTCTCCTGGATCACACATAAAGGTATTTATCATCTTTATTTAAGAATAACTCTTATCTTGAATTTTGTCTTTGCAAAGAATGGCCCTTTAGAATTCCTCTGGATTTTTCTAACACTATGGTAAAGTACACCTTCCCTGTACTCCCCTCCCAACAAAGACAGTTGAGGTAATTGTAGTCTCCTGGGTTTCCCTGTAAAATTTAAGCAGCTGGAAAAATACTCTTACTCTCAGCTACTTGCAAAATTTCTCTAAATCATTTCATGATAACTATTTTAAAGGGATTCGCTGTTTCAACACTTTCTTCTCTCTAGTTCCTTAGATCTTTCCAAGCTTTATGGCACTGAATCCCTAATTAGTATTCCACCCAAGAGCTCTTAAAGAACTGTAAAGGATGTGCTGCATACCACCCCCGCCGATGCTTAGGTTTACATAGAGGTAAGCATTATTCCTCTCCAGGGCTTTGCATGTTTGTTACTTATGTACTTGCTACTAACAAGAGTATACTATCTATTTTTCAGCATAAATGCTTCTGTCCCTTGGACTAGAAACCTCTTAGACCACTGTCAAGTGAACAGCATTAGAAGTAAATACAAAGCAAGATTCACTTGCTTAGAGAGTAAAAAGAAAAAAATATCTTAGAAAGCCCATTACAAACCGTAATACAAAATAGACACTACAAGAAAACACAAGAAAAATTCTGTTAACTTTTTTTTTTAAACTTTCTATTATATTTACCAGTGTTACCATCTTTGAACTACTTGGACTTTACGAACTTCATTTTTTTCTTTACATAATAGAAAAAAGTCCCAATATTAGATATATAAAATAGTCACATAAAGCCAGAGATTGTTCAAAATTGTTAGAAACTCTTTCTTAGTTTAATATATTTGTTGAATAATAAATTTGTAAAGTACTGAACGAGGAACCAAAATATGCTTTAACGTGTTTTGTTAAGATGAGGAAAACAGTCCCAACCTTGAAGGAATTTGTAATGTGAGATGGAGATATGAGTAACTTAATGAGAAGGCAGAGTGCGGTTAACAAAGAAATGAGGAAGATCTCACAGGAGTTTGAGGAGAGATACTTGGTTTGGGGTAATTTCAAGAAAAGCTGGAAAGCGGGGGAAATTTTAAGGACCTTAAAGAATGAGTAGGACTGGGAAACAGGCAAAGATGAACAAAGACAGTAAGAAGGAGAGTCAGAAATACTTCTTCCATTTTATAAACGTTGACATAGTCCATGTTAGTTATTTCATTGTTTACAGGTTTGAAATATGGGAAAAGAAGGCTAAAATGTTGATGGAGCCCTACTGTGAAGCCACCTTCAGAGACCTAACAGTTTTTAAGTTGGAAGTATCAACTGGTGTATCAAAGGAAGGAGACAATAAAACAGGAAAATCAATTAGGCTACTGCAATGATAGATGAGAATTGATAAGGGTCTGAATTAGAGTGGCGGTAAAAAGGAGAGTTAGAGACTGAAACCCAGGATTTGGCAACTGAAAGAAAGCAAATGGCTGAGTGTGGTGGCTCATGCCTGTAATCAGCTGAGATGGGCTTCTTCAGTCCTGGAGTTCGAAACCAGCCTGGGCAACAAAGCACGACCCCTTTAAAATATTTGAGACCTTGTCTCTACCAAAAATTTAAAAAGCCAGATGCAGTGGCAGGTGCCTGTAGTCCCAGCTACTTGGGAGACTGAGGTGGGAGGATCCCTTGAGGCCAGAAGTTCAAGGTTGCAATGGGGTATGATAACACCATTGCATTCCAGCCTGGGTGACGGAGTGAAACCCTGTCTTAAAAAAATTAAACTAGGCTGGGTGCAGTGGCTCAATCCTATAATCCCAGCACTTTGGGAGGCAGAGGTAGGTGGATCACTTGAGGTCAGGAATTCAAAGCCAACATGGCTAAACCCTGTCTCTACTAAAAATACAAAAATTAGTCCGGTGTGGTAGCACACGCCTATAATTCTGGCTACTCAGGAGGCTGAAGAACAAGAATCACTTGAACCCAGGAGGCAGAGGTTGTAGTGAGCTTAGATCGCACCACTGCACTCCAGTCTCAAAAACAAATGAAACAACAACAACAAAACTAAAATAATAAAAGAAAGCAAATGGATCAAGGAGCGGAATGGAAGAGTTAATGGTGAGGGAGAAAGGACTTACAGCTAATCCCAAATATGGTCTGTCCCAACATGGGCACTATTGACATTTTGGACAGAATACTTCTTTGTGTGGCTGCAGTCCTGTGTATTGTAGGATGCTTACCAACACCCCTACCTTCTACCTACAGAATGCTAGTGGCACCCCAACCCTGGCTGTGACAATCAAAAATATTTCTAGACATTGCTAATGTCCCCAGTCCCCAGGCTGCAGACCAGGACTGGTCCTTGGCCCACCAGGAACCAAGAGTGGGCAAGCAAGCATTACTGCCTGAGCTCCACCTCCTGTCAGATCAGCTGTGGTATAAGGTTCTTATAGGAGCAGGGAATGTTATTGTGAACTGTGCACGTGGGGGATCTATAGGTTGCAGGCTTCTTATGAGAATCTAATGACTGATGATCTGGGGTGGCACACTTTCAACTGGAAAACATCCCCACCCCTGCCACCCCCACCCCAGTCAGATTGAAAAATTGTCTTCACGAAATGGGTCCCTGATGCCAAAAAAGTTGGGGACCACTGCCCTAAGGGGTAAAGGTCCCCCACCAGGTGGGAAACATTAGTCTAGGTGAGTAGTTATGAGGTAGGAGAATAGGGTCTGGAGGCAGGAAACCAAGACCAATTCACCCTGACTTCCCACAACTGAATTAATAGGAAAATCCCAACTTTCCATGCCTAAGTAACAAAAGGACCAGAAGCTACTCCCTTTGCAAATCCCCTTTTCTGTGCAGCAGATGGAAAACTGAAAGTACCTCTGATTGTTTACATAGGAGTGTAACTTTGTAACTTCACTTCTCTGACCCGTAGCTTTCCGCAACTAATCATACTGACTGTGGACCACCATTTACATGGGGTGAACACCAAGTAGACAATGGGAAACCTCTAGGTGTCTGGACCCCAGAAGATTCCTCATCCAGGGCTCTTGAGCCACTGCTTGGGCCTCTCCCACATTGTGGAATGTATTATCATTTTCAATAAATCTCTGCTTTCATTGCTTCATTCTTTCCTCCCTTTGCTGTGCATTTTGTGCAATTCTTTATTCAAAACGTCAAGACCCTCTACCGGTTACAGCTATGCCATTAATCAGGGTCTATCAGAAAAGGGCCAGAATGGCTCTTTGACTATAATCTCAGACTTGAAGGGGCTGAACATTTTCCCGCAAGACGTGGCCTATCTGTGCAGGAGAGCAGATGTGACCTTCTTTAAAAAGTTTGTGGCTGGGCGCGGTGGCTCAAGCCTGTAATCCCAGCACTTTGGGAGGCCGAGGCGGGATCACGAGGTCAAGATATCGAGACAATCCTGGTCAACATGGTGAAACCCCATCTCTACTAAAGATACAAAAAATTATCTGGGCATGGTGGTGCGTGCCTGTAATCCCAGCTACTCAGGAGGCTGAGGCAGGAGAATTGCCTGAACCCAGGAGGCAGAGGTTGCGGTGAGCCGAGATTGCGCCATTGCACTCCAGCCTAGGTAACAAAAGCGAAACGTCGTCTCAAAAAAAAAAAAAAAAAGTTTCAGATTTAGATATGTCATTTGTATCTTTCTCCAGTTCTATGCTCCCCAAATATGGCTATTCAGTCTTCAAATGTCAAGCCATTACATCAACAAGGAACACTAGTTTCTTACAGACAACTCAGGGGAAAGATCAACTTTAAATGATCATCTATCTACATTACTCCTATATTTAATATAGTATCTTTGGTCATATTATGCCTAAAGTTTAATTTATAAACTCAAATATTATACATCATATAGCCTGGTTAGTAGGCCTTTAGATGTTGTGTTGTACTTTTAACATTATGGTCTGCTTTGTAGAAAGTTGTCCTTTGTATTTTCCTTTTCCCATTTATTTTATTTCTGGTTAACAATACTAATGTTCCCCAATGACCTATAGTTGTTAATAGATTCTATCTTCTTGATAGCTTTGGGTTGTTTTTATGTTTATAATCTTTTGATACGAGTAGTGTTTTAAAATTTCAAATGTTAAGTATTGTTTAGTTACACAATGTTCTTAAAAATTTAGGTTCAGGAAATGACTTGGTCAAAAAGTAACTATTATACAGAGTAACAGAAATTTTAAATTTAGTTACACATCACTTCATTCTATAATACTAAGGATTTGGACATTACCTGGGTTTTCATTCATATTTAGAAAAACAGTATTTTAAATCTACTGATTCCACCAGGGCAGGAAGAGTGTGGGGCCTCAAAAATCTGCAAGCTGCCCAGGCCACTTGAGGCTGTTCCAACGACCTAACATTAAGAGCAGTAGGGAGGATATGCAAAAGATTTACTATAAAAAACCATTTATTATTACAAACTTTTATTTAACATCAGCCTTATTACCTTTTGTGAACACTACAGGAAATACAGAAACTGTTTTTAATATATAACTCAACAGCATTCAAGCTTGAGATGGGGAGATAGCTGAACTTCCCAATGCAACATTAAGTGCCCCAATTGCCTAGATATAGCAAAGGTGTACCAAAATTTAGCAATTATTTATCTCTTTAATCAGAGTGGTCTACCTATTGATTTTACACACGACTTTTTTTGAGACAGAGTCTCACTCTGTCACCCAGGCTGGAGTGCAGTGGTACACTCTGGGCTCACTACAGCCCCCACTTCCTGGGTTTAAGCGATTCTTCCCCCTCATCCTTCAAGTAGCTGGGACTACAGACATGCACCACCACACTTGGCTAATTTCTGTATTTTTAGTAGAGATGAGGTTTCGGTACATTGGCCGCTGGTCTCAAACTCCTGGCCTCAAGTGATCTGCCTGCCTCGGCCTCCCAAAATGCTTGGATTACAGGCGTGAGCCATGGTAACCAGCCTCCCACATTATGTTCTAAGTTCCAAGTTTTTACTCATCTTTACAAACCCAATGAGGTTTGCCTGTAATAAGCCTTCAGTGAACACTTCTTGAATTAAAGATATTTCATTCTAAAAAGTCTTCAGGGTCCCTATATTTGAAACATATGTCCATTCCTATCCCTTCAGTGAGATTTATTAAAAGATTAGATAAAAAGATGTGTACATTTTATAAATCTGACTAGATTAACCCTAACAAAGTTTTGTTTTCCTTTACTGACATTACTCTGCCAAATTTCTCAGTTGTATATCAGTAAGACAAAAGCACATCTGTAACAAAATTCAAATGTTTAATTTTTTTCAAAACTTAACTATACTAATGAAAATAAATTATATTTAGACCACCTTCGATATTTTTACATCATCTTTATACAACTATAACAGTGCTTTCAAAAGACGTTTTGTGAAGGACATTAATTTCACATTTCAAATGTGTTTCAAAAATAAGGGAACATTAAATATCAAATTAGTCTGAAATATTTCTCAATGCTGGGGCATATAGTTCTTTATCAAATTAGCTGTACGTGTATTCAAAATAACATGGCTTTTAACTAATGACATTTCTTGTCCATTTCAGTAATTTCTTGGATCCAAAACAAAATCTGTGTATTTATTTCTTTGAAAACATCATTTGTCGACCGTCCTTTCACTGCCATGGAATGATTTGCCTTCTCAATCCAGTGGATTTTATGGGGAGCTTGCATTTTCTGTGCCACTTTCTCCAACAAGTTCTAAAGAAAAAAAGAAGAGGATACTAGACTAATGTTCTATTGATATTTAATAAAAGGTCCTGTCTCCTCTGCCTATACTGGCATTCATTCACAAGTATTCATTAATTGCTTTCTCACAGACAACTTTCTAGGCAACAGAATGTGCGAGGAAATGTCCACGAACGTGGCAGTCCGCTTCTCTTAGCTACAGCAATACCGCATATCAAGCATTCATTATTGATAATAAAATGTTAAATAAATTGAAGTAAAAAAGTCTATTTTCCCCAAAAAATCTTTTTCCCAAGTAAATTATACGCTCTGGGGAATACGAAATTGTTTGATAATATTGGGCTAATATTTAATAATGTGTAGACATTGCCAACCCTTTCTCAAGAGTCAATTTTAAAACAAATAATCTGCCTGAATGTTGAAATGATTTAAAAAATGTACAGTCTAGTAATCCCCAAATCAGAAGATTCAGATATTAATCCTTCATTTCCCAAATAAGGGTCATATCTATCAGGGAGACAAATTTTGTCACTATATTTCTATTTTTAGGTTCTCAAAAGCAACAGGGTAACCAAAACACAAAACTAGTGTTAATCAAATTAGCAACTTTTAAAAGAGACTGTTGCAGGAAGTATGTTGCTCCCAAGATATGTCTGCCTTTCATTCTCTTTCATTCACACAAACATTGAGTTATAATTCACCTTTTCACACATTTCATCTGCTGAGCCTGACACAAACAGTACAGGCTCTTTTAAACGAAAGAGATCTTCATCTCTGAGTTTATGCTGCTGCTTTGGATGGTGCAGTGGATAAGAAATACAAATGAGACCTCGAACAAAATCATCAGCATCATCTGGCTCAATGTGACACATTACAGAAGCAGCTGCTCTTGAGCCCATTGAACGACCTAAAATCAATTAAAATTAAG